TTTCACTAGGATGTGCTTCACTGAAATTTGGCTTATGCTGCTGCTTATGCTGATTTATTGTGAGAGAAAAACACTGTTCCTTCGTTGAAAGGTACCGCTGAAAAACAGGACGTAGACTAATTATGCCACAAGTTGAGAATCTTAGGATGTGTTGTTGGTTTGTTGGCAATTGTTTCTATTCCCAACGTCACCCTGGAGGTAGTATGTCATTTGGCGGCTTCCTTAGTAGTGTGGAGGTAGGCAAGCCTTAGTGGCGAGCTGAACCATGGGATAAACACCTTTTCTCTTGTATTCTTGCTATTTGTGTTGTGCTCTACTTGTTTGTCGGTAATTCCAAGGTTTGCTTCCAATTTACTTGTGCATAAGCTTGTGACCTCCTTCAAGTGGTGAAATATGTTCAACGCTACTCCAGAAGCATTAGTAATTTACTCGACCTAAGTTTTATTAGGTAGTTTTTGAATTGTGCCTTCGAGGCTGATACACGACACCACCGTAGTTTTGCTCGCGCGTAAAAGTGCAGTAGCGCCGCACCTGTTACTGACCGCCGCGATCGAGTTTTGTTTTAATAGGCCTAGTCACCCGCTTGCTAGATCCTTTTCAATAGTAAATCTAAAAATATCAATATTGTGTTATGAACCATATATATATATTTTGAATTGGTGGTCAAAGATATAAATATTCAATTTAGGACAAAGCTAATACAACATGTAAAAATAATTAGAGAAAATTGATACAGATATGATATAGATATCAAAACCGAGGAAATGGGCTAATATCAGCGGCCATGAGCCTTGACTTGCTCGCTTTATTATCGCCGAGACGCCCACTGAAAGGGAGAAGATGGCGCATCCAGCATCCTGAATCCTTTTTTAGATAAACTAGGTAGCATGCCCGTGCATTGCTATGGGATAACTAATAATTTATACTAAAAACACACGGATCGCACGATAAGATAATAATACTGTTAAATTAAATACTAATGTTAAAGTGACATTTAATTCAAAAAGCAAAGTTTATGAATTTAACACAGTCACGGAGTGCGCGGCGTTGTAGGCTCACAAACTCTAGAGCTTCCAGAGATTGGGTCGAATCCAACCTAGAGCCTCGGAACCCTGCATCTTTTCCTGGACAGGCTTCACTTCGGATGCGCCGGTAGCAATATCAACGATCTCCAGTCGATGGACCAAGTCGTATGGATCCCCATACAATGGCTCAGACATTTAGATTTTGTTCTACTTGTACTTGGATACACTTGTTCCACTGAAGCTTTCATTGAAATGTTTAGACACGAATAATGTCTGATCACCGATGTCCCTCACCCTGGATCACTCCGGCGTACGGTCGTGGAGGTTGCACTTGTAGATCGCGCTGCTGTAGGTGAAGCTCTGTGTCTCGTGGAACGTGCTCACCATGGCACCCACAATGTGCAGCTCACCATTTGATTCCAGGTAGCTGCGGTGGCAGAGCCCCGCAGGTGGCGACAGCGATGGTAGCAGCGCCGCGGTTGGAGTAGTGTCGGCGGCGTTACTGCTGTAGACGGAGATTTCTCCAGTGTGGTCGATCGCCAAGAACTTGTCTTAACAATGGATGATGGACCCCACGGAGAACTCCAGTTTGGTGTCGAGCAGCGTCCATGCGCTGTCGACTCCAACCCGGCAGAACGCGACCTCCGTGGATCCCCCAAGCATGTCCATGGCCACGCACTCATGGCCTGGCGGCGTCAGGCGGCGCCGAGAGCACGATCTCATGGAAGAACATGTCCCTCATGTCTTCTAGCTTGATGGCTCTGCCTGGAGCATCCGCGTCCTCGTAGCCGTTGGTGGGATGGAGGACCCACCGACCGTGGACCATAGACACGTGTTTCGATGAGGACGCCGCTGTGACGTGTTCGCTTGCTGGCGGGAGCTCAACGCGGGGGGCACGGGCACCGGAGAATGGATTCAGCAGCGTCACGGATGCCGCCTTGTCCATGAGCACCAGCCAACCACACGAGGAGCCGCATGCGACCTTGCCACACACGTCGGGCAGCGTCTTAGACAAGACCTTCTTCTCCGGGACACAGTAGAAGCCAACGCGGTTCGAGTCGGGGTCGAACGGGAGCAGCAGGAGCGGCCCGAAGGTCGTGAACGGGACGACGGCGCGCCATGGGGAGTAAGTGGATCGAAAGGACTCCGCGTCGTGGCCTGACACGAGACGCTGCCCGATGGACTCGAGGAGATCCTCTGGCAGGCCGGATCTCCAGTCAGGGAGAGGTAGGGACCTTCTCTTGGGATTGGGAGGCTGAGCCATGAAAGACAGATGACATCAACTATGGTTCACGCAAGAAACAGCAAGCGAGGGCGATGGAACACGTGAGCGTGAAACCAAATGAAAGGAGAAAAAAGTTGTTCCTTTTGCAAATGCAAAGAGGTGAAGTAATTAAATGTAGGCAGATTTGGTAAGGTTCTCAGAAATGCAAATATATTTCTTTTGTCTTAATTCTCTTTCCTTCTGTGTTAATTCTCTTTTCTTTTGCTCGTTGCCATGTATGCTGGTGCATGCAAACATGCAATGTGTATATGGATAGCACAATAATTTTCTACTTCTTATTTTGCCGTGATTCCTCTATCACATGACATGCAATATTCAATCAAGGAGAATGGCATGATCAATCAATAATTAAGATGACGTGGGATCGCAGGCGTGGACAGACGACGGACCAAAACAAATGTCGCACCAAAAAAATATCCACACTTTGTTCTTTTTAGTTGTAGGAGAAATTTATATAAAAGAACCTAATCTAAGCATATCAATAGAAACAGGCACTATGAGGCAAAAAAAGCCTAACAATAACTGAATTATTTTTTGCATGTTTTCATCTCAGGTCTGGTTGTGAATGGCTAATTGGAAAAGAAAAACACAAGAATTTCCAAGTGCACTGAATTGCTAGGTGTAGATATGATGAATCTTCACAACACCCAAACTTGAGAATGCATGGATAGTCATGATAGCATACACTAAACCTGACAGTGCAGCTATCTAAAATTGATATGAATCGTCGCAGCAACCAAACTGGAGAATCGATGAATACCTATGATGGCATACACCAAGTAATAAAAGCAGGAGTAAACTCACGTTTTGTCATTCAGATTCCTGATGGAGAAGGGTTAGAGGGTGGGTTTACACAGTAATAAACTTCAAGTAGGACGTTCCACAAGTAGTCAGATTTACATATTTTCTGTTTTTTAATATTAGGTGACCATAAATTTTCTAGCAAAACTGACAATTAGAAAGGCTGGTTTGACAAAATAACAAAGCATGTCCACATGCTTAGCGTTCTTGTAATCCGTAGCTAGGCATGGAGAATTGATTGTCAAGAAACTATAAATATCTTCATGATAGTCAACTTGAACAAATGCTAACCTTAGTAGATTTAACCAAGGAGCCAGTAACGAAATAAATTTTGACAATGATGAAATTGTATTCTGATGTCCAGATTATTTATCAGACTCTTTCAGTAATTGTCCAATCTACATACAACTCAAAGAGCATCCCATGAGTGATGTACAAAAACAATCCATATTACGGAGAAACAATTAGCATTTTTACAGTGTAAAAATGACAGAGAAAGAGCAGCATGGATATATTATATAAAAGCATAGTAGGTTTGATTTTGAATCTACACCGGGTTTTAGTTTCCTCATTCCCCCCTTGAGTACATATTAATGATAAAATTCAGAGGGTAATTGTGCAATTAGATGGAACATGCAGCATGAGACTGATTAATCTCCGGAGACCCTTTATGGTACTACTTGCTAAAAATCACATGTGCTAAAAATTCTCGACGCAGGTCCTTCTCCTTCTCGACACAGGTCCATCTACGAGGACAACCACCAAGGTTTGTTAGCATGGAGCATTATTTTGTCGAACATATTGCCCGCGTTACATTCCCCACTTAGACGTCCGTTTTTTCGCACAGAAGGGAGAGCACGGAAGGGGTGAGCATACCCTGGTTGACCACCTGCGCCGTCGGGATGCCGCGCACGGACGCGTGCGCTGCCTCTAGCACCGGGACGCCGTGCCACCTCACGGTAGTCGGCTTTGGTAGCGCTGACGAGCTAGAAGGCGAGCCCGGTGTCCTGGGCGAGGATATGGTGGATGCTGTCGAGGAGCGACGCCTGGAAGTGGCACAAGCTGAGCACGTCCTTTTTCACCAGCACCACGATGCCCCCGATCCGGCCCTCCAGCACCGTGGACGCCACGCCGCCTCATGGTGGTCGAAGGCGTGCAGCACGGCCAAGCGAGGAGTCACGGAGGGGAGGGGAGTGATGCCGCGATCGCAAGGGGAGCGACGATCAGGGAGGAGACCGAGGCAGATGGAACACGTGAGCGTGAAAGCAATAAAAAGAGAAAAAATATGTCCCTTTTGCAAATGCAAAGAGGGGAAGTAATTAAATGTAGACAGATTTGGCAAGGTTCTCAGAAATGCAAATATGTTCCTTTTGTTTTAATTCTCTTTCCTTCTGTGTTAATTCTCTTTCCTTTTGCTCGTTGCCATATATACTGGTGCATGCAAATATGCAATATGTATATGGATAGCACAATAATTTTCTACTTTCTATTTTGCTGTGATTCCTCTATCACATAACAGACAATATTCAATCCAGAAAATGTCGTAGAATCGTAGACGTGGACAGACATACGAATCAAAATAAATGTCGTAAAAAAAATGTACGCGCTTTGTTCTTATAGTCGTAGAAGGAGATTCAGCATCCTGATTCGTGAGTCGTGAGTCGTGACGTGTTGGCTTTCCTCAATTCCTTCTTGGTCGCTCCTCCGCCCCTGCCCCTCCTCGCTGGAATCGATTTCGTCGTCGCCGCTACCTCGGTTGCTCCCCTCCTGCTTATCAGAGAGGAGCTGGGGGAAAGTGCTCCCTCCATCGTCGCCCAGCAGATCGATCGAAGCCAGCAAACAAATCAGAAAGAGCAAGAGAGGCGCCCGAGTCCCTAGGGCGGAAAGCCATGGACGGCGCCGCCAACTGGCGCCCCACGCAGGGCGCCGACCCTGCCGCCGGCGGCGTCGACCCTAACGCGGCTGCCCCCGCCGGAAGCGACTGGCGCACCCAGCTTCAGCCCGAGGCGCGCCACAGGATCGTCAATAAGATGTACGTCCTCTCCATCTTCCTTCCCTCCCTCCTCCCCCTAATGGGAATTGTCAAGCAACTGCAATCTTTTCCTTCCGCCGTGGCGGATCCATGTCGCTTCTTTTACGATTCGATCACCGGCTTCCCTTTTTACTTTATTTAGATTAGATAGACAGTATCATGCTTGCTGGGTAGGGTTTGCTGATGCATCCATGCACTTAGACCTGCTGAACCATCCGTGCACTTGGACCTAACAATTCACACTTGGACCTAACAATTCGTCTACCTTTCTCTTGTTTGTTTACCCACGAATCACCTACTCGTTTGTTCGTGACATATGATCCATACAGTCGTGTTTGTTCGTGACATATGGATCCATACAGTCGGTGCCATCCAATCCAATACATCATACTTTCTAAGATTATATATTTTTATTTAAACCAAATTTAATCATCAAAATTATCAGTAGAAACTACTTGACTACCTGTTTGCTTGCTATAAGATTAAAAAAAAACTTTATAAAGCCATCTCTGCACAATAAACACACAAAGAAACATATGCAACTGCATATCGCAACATTTGAGTTTTTTAGAGTATGGGTGTAGAATGCGACAACTCATAATGTGATTGTTTTTTTTTTCCAAACACTTCTCTATCCCCTAGTGGAGGGTAGGCATGGCGTAGCGGTAGGCTGCTGACTTTCTCCAATTTGTCAACCTCCTTGCAAAATAAGAAAGGGTAAAACCATATTCTTCCTAGACCCTCATCTTGTGTAGGACCTTTTAGCATTGGTTATGCGGTATGACCCGAGTCTTTTTCTGCCAACTAATTATTAAGTCATGTATATGCCTGCCAATGGAATGTGTCCATTTTACCCTTGCCACCACTTAAATTTTACCCTAGTTGCTACTTGAATGTGTCCATTTTTACCCTAGTTGTTCATTCGGTTCAAAAATATGTATGTGCATTAGCGGTCCACAAATTCCATGCCCACTGTTTCCACTAGTGAACTATTATTTTTGTACATGTACTGGGGCTTCTGGTTTACTGGACTAATTAAATGGTAATCAAACACATTTATATATCACTTCTTGCATTATATATGTATAGAATGGAGACTCTGAAGAAGCACCTGCCAGTATCAGTACCAGAAGGACTGACTGAGCTTCACAAAATTGCTGTGCGATTTGAAGAGAAAATCTATACTGCAGCCATCAGCCAGGTACATTTAACCTAACTCTAGTACGCTCCCGTACAGAGTCAGAATGTTTAGTCATGGGGTGGGTCAATGATATGGACATTTGATCTATGACAATCTTAAAGGCTTTTAGGTAAATTTTAGATGCTTATAGATCTTTTTATCATGGTAAAATAAATGATGGGGCAATGCATGGATACTCTGCTAATCATATTTAGGAGGCGTGGTATCAAAATATCATGGGCCCATGCAACTTGCACATGTAAATTATATTAATGCAAAAACCACAACTTAAATCCTTTTGTTTTGTATCACTCAGTCTGATTATTTGCGGAAGATTTCTCTGAAAATGCTGCCCATGGAAAGTCAGACAAAGACCCAACAGAACCCTGGAAATGCTCAAGTGATTCCAAATCAGAACCCTCCTGGTCCAGGTACCATACACAGCAAATGCAACATCACACCTTTTTTTTGTGCTATCAATGTATTTGCTTCTAAAAAAAAAGAATGCAGGCAAGATATTCAGGGCATAGTTAAGTTTTCCACATTAAGAGAGTTTACTTCTCACTGGTGGAATGCATGCTTTTTATTTTCACTTGCTTCCTAATATGTTCATATTTGCATCTTACGATTTTTTTGTCACTTTATTGTCTTAAAGGGCAAATTTGTTATTGCTAAAGTTTATTGGCTATCATAATATAGTGCCTGTTTGGATGCCATGGTTTTAGAAAAACTATGGTATGAAGTAACAGTAGTTTTATAAGATAAAAGTGTGCAAAACTGTCGTTTACTGAGGTTATGAGTGGAGTGGAGTATCTAAAACTTCCAAAGACTACAATTTTAGCAAGGTCTTGAGTGGAGTATCTCAAACTTCAAAAAGACTAAAATTTTAACAATACCATGTCTTTGAAAACTAGAAGGTTTGTTGCATCCAAACGCCCAATAGCTTTCCAAAACCAAAACCAAAGTTTTTTTTTGCAGAACCATAATAGTTTTCCAATACTCAGAAAATACTTTGAATCCAGGGCCTTAGATATTTTTTTTACCGTAAAGGGCCTTAGATGTTATTCTTCCGCCCCAAAACGTAGGTTGTTTTAGCTTTCTCGTAAGTCAAAATAGAAAAATGCACCAACATCTACAACATCAAAAATCCGTTTAATCCACCATGAGATATGTCTCCATAGTGCATTTTCTTTGTAATATAGATTGTATATGTTAATATATTTTTTATATAAACTTGATCAAAGTTACAGAAGTTTTAGGACAAAAGCACAAAACTAAAACACCATACATTTTGGAACGGAGGGAATGCTTATTAATTGTTGAGGTGTAAAGAGATGCACATGCATTCTAAATAATTATGCCACTGTACTTTTCTTTTCAGATGTGAATTAATTACTCAGTTCCTAATTGCTTGCAGTATACTTCCCTATTTTTTTCTTCAGAAATACAGAAGCTCACTGTCAATTTTATGTGTAATATGTTGCATTGAGTGCTTCTGCAACCTTGTTACAATTTTAATGTAAGCATTCCTTGCCTTAACATTCATATGGTATATAATTTCTAAAACAGCACCTGGCCTTCCTCCACAAGGTAGTAATCCAGCACAGTCATCAGCTATCCAGTTGATGTCTCAGCAACAGACACGGCAGCTAAATGCTTCTACATCTGTTCAAGGTTCGCTTCCTAGTCTTGGTCAGAACTTGTCGAGTGTCAGCCAGACATCGACGCTGCAGAATCTATCTGGCATGCCACAAAATACCATGAACAATGGTTTAGCACAAGGTACTCCACAAGATATGTATGCTGCACAAAGACAAATGGCTGGTAGGCAGCAGCAGCAGCAACAACAACAACAAGCACATAATCAGTTAATCTATCAACAGCAGAAATTGTTGATGAACCAGAAATTGCAGCAGAATTCACTTATGCAACCGCACATTCAGCAGCAGCAAACTTTGTTGCAGTCAACACAGATGCAATCTTCACAGCAGCCCATGATGCAAATGTCATCTGGCCTTCAGCCTGGGCAGACCACCATTCCACAAACTCAGTCCATGGCAATGCAGTCAGCTACACAGAGTGGTATTCAACAGAATCCATTTAATTTGCTGTTGCTAATTTCACAGACTCACAATTAAATGTTATTTGATGGTGTGTAAAGTGATGCACATGAACTGTCAATGATGTCCAACGGGCCGAGCTGGGCCGGCCCAGCACGGGCCCGTGCCAGGCACGGCCCGATGGGGATCGGGCCGGCACGACACGTCGTGCCTCCCGGGCCGTGCCGAGGCGGGCATTTTGCCTGACCTACAGCCCAGGCACGGCTTGCTGGGCTGTTTTTCGGGCCGGCCCGGCCCGTGAAGCACGGCCAGCCCAGCGTGTCGGGACAGCCCGGGGAAGCGCGAGCAGCCAGAGAGAGGGGGAAGGGGAGGAAGCACGAGCAGCGGGAGATGGCAGTGGCCGCCGGCGAACTTGCCCTTGGCCCTTGACACCGGATCTGGCGTCGGGGCGGAGCTCGGGGCTAGCACGAGTAGTGAGAGAGAGACAGAGGGAAGGGGACGAAGCACGAGCAGCGGGAGATGGCAGTGGCCGCCGGCGAGCTTGCCCTTGGCCCTTGACACCGGATCTGGCGTCGGGGCGGAGCTAGGGGCCAGCGCGAGCAGCCAGGGAGAGGGGGAAGGGGAGGAAGCACGAGCAGCGGGAGATGGCAGTGGCTGCTGGCGAACTTGCCCTTGGCCCTTGACACCGGATCTGGCGTCGGGGCGGAGCTCGGGGCCAGAGCGAGCAGCCAGAGAGAGGGGGAAGGGGAGGAAGCATGAGTAGTGGGAGATGGCAGTGGCCGCCAGCGAGCTTGTCGTGCTGCGCGAGGGCGTCCCATGTCCGCGCTCGCCTCACGGCCTCGCACGATGCAAGGGAAGGGGAAGGAGTCGGGAGCGTTCGCGGCGCAGAGGGGAGAGGAGCGAGTGCGTAGTGGCCGCGTGGGGAGGGAGCTGCGTGGGCGGAGGGAAGGGAGCACGCTCGCCTCGCAGCCTCGTACCCTCGTCCGATGCAAGGGAAGGGGAGGGAGCCGGGAGCGTCTGCGGCGCAGAGGGGAGAGGAGCGAGTGCGGCGTGGGGAGGGAGCTGGGAGCGTCCGTGGACTGGGCTGTGCCGAGCTGGCACGCCGTGCCTAGGGTAAGGCCCAGGCCCGGCCTGCTACACCGGGCCGTGCCAGCCTGGGCCCGTACGCTACCGGGCCGGCCGTGCTCATGTCGGGCCAAATTTGCGGGCTTCGGATCGGGCCGCCGTGCCTCGGGCTGCATGGACATATATATGAACTGTAAATGGTTATGCATGGCAATCAATTTTCATGGTGGATAATGGTGCCAGCAGGTAGTAGCAGCAAAGGGAAGAAGCAAAAGAAGATGAGATGCCGTTTCTGCAAAAAAGGTGGCCACTTTAAGAAGGATTGCTTGAAGAGAAAAATATGGTTTGAAAAAAAAGGTGTATACAATATTTTTCTGCATGCTTGGAAGTTAGAATCTACTCATTATAGGTCCTAATAATAATACCTATTCGTTAGATTCTAGTGCTATTACTCATGTGTCAAATGTTATGCAGGAGTTGCTTATGATCCAACCCATAAGCTGACTAAAGCACATGAGAATAAAAATGAAGGCACTGTATTGAAGGGATCAGGACTCGCAGAGTAATCCATGTATATGTCTGTATGTCTATGATTTGTACTTAAAGAGTGTATGTATGTTTTTCGAATGTTGAGAAAGTTGGATGTACTAAGTTTTAAGGTTATGCATGTAGACGAGAGAATACATATTATTGTGGTCCCAGTACTTTAATTGATAAGTTATGCCATTTCAACCTTCATGATGTTTTTTCTAAAGCCATGCTGAACAAGTTATGAAAATAAGTGTGATGCACACAATGATGCTTTCTTTTGGCACAAGAGATTAGGTAATAACATAACAAAATGAAGATTTTGTTGGCCGGCATATATGTGGATTCACATTAAGGGCAAATAAGACCTCAAGAATACCGAAGCAACCATCTGCAAGGAGTTAATACAAGGTTCACATAAACTGTTACGATTGAACACAAACCATTTTTGTCCATTTGATGTTCCTTTTTATTGGGGTGGTGAAAATATTAATTTCTCTTTATTGATGAATTCTCATGTTATTGTCTTAGCCAAGGACATCTAAGGATTACCTGTAGCAAGTGAAAAGATAGGTTGATAGAAAGTTTTTGTTTCTTCAAACATACTCCCTCCGCCCCTGTAGCACCCGGTATTAAGAATAAAATCAGACATGCACTATATGTGAGTCCAGAAAGTCAAATCTCACATATAGCTACAAATAAGGGTAATATCAAAAGACATGCTCAATATATAACGTACTGAGTATAAAAGAACTCCGATCTTTAGGTGAAGACTCCAATCCACAGGGATAACTGACTGGTTGATCACAAGCCTAATTTCTCCAAACTCTAACAATCTGGTATCCATCCAGAATTTTTATCCAAATATATAAAAATAAAGCAAGCGTAAGTACATATCGTACTCAACAAATTAACATGAGGTTCATGAGGCTCAATAGGATGACACTGGTTTAACTGCGATTAGCTTTTAATGAGTCATCTTTTAGCAATTAGGCGACAATCAAGTTTATCCACAAGCCCATTGTAAGGAAAATGGATCATAGGCCTATTTACTTTGGATTTTGGTGTTTGATGACCAACACAATCAAATTGAACTAATGAATTTGCAAGTGACTATTTTGTAGTTCAATATGGTGCAAGATGTGACTTAGACAAAGGCGACATGGTGATCCCACGATCAACACCATAATCAAAGACCTTAGAAGCACAAGAGAAGACCCAAGATATCAAGCAAAGTCCAAGCACTAAGATTGGAACCAAGCCGGACACAATATCGTGAAGAAACGAGCTTCACAGAGGTGACCGGACGCAGCCCTTATAGGGACCGGACAACAGCAGGCGTCAGCAGCAGCGACCGGGAGCTGAGGACTGAAAGTGACCGGACACACCGATGGCACTGTTCATCATCCTGGCAACACACTCAGCACTGATCGGACGTTGACGGCTAATCGACCGGACGTAGGAACTGCAGTGTCCGATCGAGTACAGAGAGGTTCTAGAGCGGCGAAGTTACGACCAGACGCGTCCGGTGGCATGTGACCGGACGCCATCAGCGTCCGATTAGTTGATCGCGCGCTCTAACGGTCGGGACGACCAGACGAGTCTAGTCAAGACGACAGCAGCGCCCGGTCAGTAGCAGAAAAGCAGGATTTCGTCCCCAACGGCTACTTTCTTAGTGGGGCTTACAAATAGACCCCCCAACCGGCCATTTGGAAATAGTGGAGCCGACGAAACATACCAAGGGCTAAAAATTGCTTGTTTGAATCTTTTAGCATGGATGTGTTTAACCAAGTGTTCACTTTAAATATGGCACATGAAATTTGGTTAAAACTCCAAGAGCTCCATGATGGCACAACTAATGTCCATGAGCAAAAACATTATCTAGCTAAACAAAATTATGATTCCTTTAAAATGAATGGTGATGAGCTTGTTCGTGATATGTATTCTCATTTGAATCTAATTATCAATGAGCTCCATTCAATAGGATTAATGAAGCTAGATGATGCGGACATCATGAGGAAGATCATCTCCGCGCTACCACAAAAAAAATATGCAAGCATCATCATCATCCTTCACAACATGGAGGACTTGAGCACCATGACCCCGGCCATAGTCCTTAGCAAGATAGTGGTATTTGAAATGTCACGCAAGATGGGTCAAGAAGAAGCATCTTTATCAAGCAAAGGCAAAGCTCTCACATGTAGTGAGAAAAAGAAGATGAAGGGCAAGCAAGTTGAGTCAAGCTCAAGCTCAAGCTCCTCAAGTGAAAATGAAGAAGAAGATGAGGATGATGATGATGAAGAATCAAGTGATGATGATCAATCTTCCTCCTCCACCTCTGACCTTGATGAAGAATCAATCAAACTTATCAACAAGGTGGAGAGAATGATCCAAAGGCTCAATGTCAAGGGTGTGCCCATCCAAATTGAAGATTTCATTTTCACTAATCAAAGAAATGAGCAAAGGAAGAAAGGATGCTATGGATGCAGTGAGTTGGGGCACTTTGTGTAAGTTTATCCAAACAAGCCCACACCCAAGACAAAGAAGAAGGCGTGCAAGGACAAAGCCCTCACATCAATAAGGTCATTGGATGATTCTTCAAGTGAAGAAGAAGACCATCACAAGAGGCGAGGGTACAAGCACTCATCATCAAGAACTTCACGAGTGTGCCTTATGGCACGAGGTGACTACTCTTGCATATGCACATGTGACTACTCTTTGTTTTTCGTCAGCCACGAGAGGAGACATTAATGTGCATTTGAGTTTTTTTAAGGTATGGGAGTAGAATGCGACAACCCAATACTTGATTTTTTTTCAAATGTTCGTTATCCCCAGTGAAGGGTGGGCATGGCGCAGTAGCAGACTAGTGACTGTCTCCACTTGTGTCAACCTCCTTGCAAAATAAGCAAGGGTAAAACCATCTAAAAGTCCCCTTCCCTAGACCCTCACCTTGTGTGGGAGCTTTAAGCATTCGGTAAGGCTTAGTTCAACCATATGCATGTGCATTAGTGGTCCACAAATTTCATGCCACTTTTGCCACTAGTACACTATTTATGTACATGTACTGGAGTTTCTGGTTTATTGGGCTAATTAAATGGTAATCAAACACATTTTTTCAGTGTATCTCTCAATATATAACATCTTGAAAGGTCCTTGTGTGGTTTTGGTAATTGAGTGACAACCTAGGTGGACTAATTATGTTTATATGAGATACACAGGTAATTAGTCCACAGGAACATGTGTGTGAGCAACATATGCCATGAAGGTGAAAATGGCTTGGAGATGTTGCAAAGCTCACACATATGATGATGAAGGAGCTCATTGCAAATGAGACATGACATTGAGTCATGTGATCAAGGTGAAGAAGATCAAGACAAGACTTGGCTTGATGGACTAGATGCAAGCGTGAAGGGCAAGTCAGAGGCTTTGGAGCAATGGACCGCGTGGCGGTGAAGCTTGAGCAAAACTTGGCACCGATGGACGAAGGCAATGGTGAAAAGCAAGTGAAGTCAAGATCGATGAACCAATATGATCACGTGATGATATGAAGTGGATCATATCATTGTTGATCATGTTGGTGCATGTGTTGCATCGACATTGAAGGAGATAGAATGGAATGCGCAAGGCAAAGGTATAACCTAGGGCATTTCATTTCACCGGTCATAGGTGTGTAGAGAAGTTGATGACCGGGTTTAGGATAGATGGCCGTACTATCAAGAGGGGCAAACTTGTTTGCATATCGGTCATCTAGTGCCACTTGAGTGATCTAACTTTGTATCGTCGCTAGGATTGAGTGGTGTGGCAAGTTGAGTGGCTAATCCTTTGGAAAATAATTGTGAAAATGCTAACACACATACACATGATGGTGTACACTTGGTGGTGTTGGCACATTTATAAAGGAGAAGAAGTTGGAGTTGATGTGGATCAACTCAGTGATGAAACGGAGGTGAGAAAGGTCCCATAGAGTGGACCAGACTCTGGTCACGCAGTGATAGGACGCTGGCTGTGTGCGTCCGGTCAGAGCTGACGTATGGTGACGCAGGCAGAGCAGAAGCTGGAGAGTGACCGGACGCTGGTGCTGCGTCCGATCGCGATCGACCGGACGCGTCCGGTCGTGAAATGTCGTTTCTGGAACCTTACTAGAAATGACCGGACACCGGAGGCTCAGCATCCGGTCAGTTGAAGCTGCTGCGTCCGGTCGTCAGATGACCGTTGAGATTGGATGAACAGCGTTTGAAGCAGGTGACACGTGGCTGTCATCGAGCGACCGGACGCTGAGGTCTAGCGTCCGGTCAACATGACCGGAGCGTCCAGTCGGCTCGACTTTTGCCCAGTGAAGGGGTAACGGCTCTATTTGTTCGTGGGGTTATAAATAGAAGCCATGGTCGGCCTTGGGCCGGTAGCTGAGCACACTAGAGCCTTGGTGGCTTGTGTAGTAGTGCTTGGGAGCCCTCCATCTCACATATACTTGATAGTGATCATTCGATTGTGTGAGAGAGCGATTCTAGTGCGATTGCATCGTGAGGTTGCATCGAGTGGCACTAGGTGATCGAGTTGCAAGCCGGTGGTGCTTGTTACTCTTGGAGGTTTCCACCTCCTAGACGGCTTGGTGGTGGTCTCCATCGAAGCCCGCAAGAAACTTGTGCGGTGCTCCGGAGAAGAGCTTTGTGAGGGGCATTGTGATTGCGCCGCGGGAGCCGCGAAGAGCAACTCTAGTTGAGCGTGTCATTGAACTACCCTCACTTTTGGGGTAGGTTCTTGCGGTGCCCGACGTGCGGGCTTGGCGGGTGATGCCAATTAGCCGCTGAACCACCAAGTGAGCGGTCGACACAACGGGGACTAGCGTGTTGGCAAGCACGTGAACCTCGGGAGAAAAATCATCGTGTCAACCTTATTCTTCCCGTTGGTTTACATCCTCGTTACACAAGCTTGTACTTCTTTCATATACATTGTGCTTGTGTAGTTGCTCTTGTAATTAGTTAGCTTGTGTAGCTTACTAGTTATCTTCTTGCTTGTATAGCATAGAAGTAGCTCCCTT